TAATAAATTTAAAATTTTTAATGCTACTGGAAATAATATCTGCTAATGTGTGCAGGTTTTGGCAGATAGTCTGTACAATTCTTTATTTCCTTCTGTTAAGACTATCAGCATTAATAAAGAAGCCAACCTTGATAATGACTGTTTATTAGAACTAGCTCAATGTACAGTAAAATGGTGATATTATTGCTAAAGCGTAGTAAGAATGTGAATCTAATTTGTCATGTTAGCAGAGACAATCTATTCCAAGTACTACACTTAATGAAATAAGCAAAGCTCTATTTCTGCACTTTATTTTTAAAACAGTAATAAAGTATTCATTTTTTTAAGATTGCTCTATGCTTGCTATACAAAATAAAGGTGGATATGGTCTCTGCTTTGTGACTTTAAAATAGGAATAATTATAAAACTGGATATGCATAAGAGGCCCAAGTTCTCTTAAATAAGTGTAGTGAATAGATGTTGCGGTGTTTTAATGCATAGGTAAGCTTCCTCCTTATACAGAATCATGTATCAGTTTAATGCCAGTACCTGAAGTAGTTCATCTAAGCTCTATAGGAATCCATGCTTTGCTTTCCCCTTTCCTGAAAGTTGCTTTTCAAGCTGTATTTTCAAGCTGAGGTCTGTCCTGTGACTTCAGATGTTGTTTTCTAGCCAAACTAAGTCCTCGCTAAATTGTCCTTGCCAGCATTAATGTGAGCCTTCATGTTTGTCTCCTGTTAAATCTCAAGCCTTGGCACTAGGTTGGACAGATTCCTTGCCTTTTTTTTTTTGCTGTTGACAGATTGGTATTGTCATGCTCATCTACACTAGCAGTGGTATGCTTGTCCATTTTTAATCCAGTTCCCTTTGGTAAAAAGAACCTGACAAAATAGCATGCCACAAGAATGGAAATTGGGTAGATTTTCTTGGGGCTGCCCTTCTGAAAAAAGAAGAGATCCCTGAATGCTGACCACATTTCACACTATGCCAGTGTGTTATTCCAGCTGTCTGCCAGCATGTATGTACTACTTTGATTGCTAAGCTTCATTTGTAACTGTGATATTTTTGCTTACTTAACACCTTAGGAGTTTGGATTTTCTGTAGCCGTTATAACATTGTTTGAATGTATTCAGTGTAAACATCTTAAATGATTTCTTACCAAATGAGAGGGAAAGCCGCAGTATGTCTGTTGACCTTATAGCACTGTTATTTTGAACTCCTGAAACTAATACTTGTTTGTTTGTTTGTTTGTTTTGATTTGATTTGTTTGTGTGTGGGTTTTTTTTGGGTATAATGGGGGACAGGTATCCTGAAAAATTGTTGTTTTTCAGGATAAATTGCATTGATACAAATTGGTACTGCTTTGATTCCACCCGTTTCATGCATGCTGCATGCTGTCTGCTTGGTAAGCTGATATAAACTAGCAGGAAATTAACAGCAAAAATGAACAATTCTCTACCAGCTTAATGAGCTAAATAAGACAGACAGTGTGAAGGTTTTGGAAGTGCTGGATGGGCTGCTGAGGAGCAATTTAGAAACACTGCCCAGGCATGAAGGGATGGTGTTAGGGGAGCACAAGCTCAGCTGGGGTTGAGGCTTGCAAGAGGCATCAAGGGCAACAAGAAGAGCCTTTGCTGCTCTGCTAGTAATAAAAGGCTGAGCAAGGGCCTGTTGCTGAATAGAGCAGGTGATTTAGTGACAGTGGATTCAAATATTTAAGGCTAAGGCACTCAGTGCCTTCTTTGCCTGAGTCTTCCTCCAGCCATCTCTCCCATACCCCTGTGTGCAGGTAGAGGTATGCTTCAAGGAGGAGCAGTGGGTGAGGATTAGGACAGAGCTTACCTGAGAGAACTTGACCCATGGGTGCGGAGTCCTGCCCCTGGGGAAGGGAGACCCCCTTGGAGTGGTGCAGGATGGGAACTGACCGGGTGAGGAGCAGCTCTGCTGGGAAGGCCCAGGGAGGTCTGGGCCGACAGCGCAGCAAGCTGAGCGTGAGCCAGCAGCGAGTGGACGCTGGCAGCAAAGACGGCCCAGAGCATCCAGGGCTGTGTGACCAGGAGCACAGCTGGTAGATGGAGGGGAGTGATTATGCCCCCCAGTCAGCAGTGTGCCCAGTGTTGGGCCCCCTGCTGCAAGAAAGACGGTGACAAAGTGTAGTGAGTTCAGTGGAGGACCCCCACGATGGCCGGGGCTGGAGCACTTGCACTGTGAGAAGAGGCTGAGGGCCCAGGGCTTGTTTATCCTGGAGAAGAGAGGGCTTTGGAGAGGTGGACTCAGCAGCTGCCCGCCCCTACCTGCGAGGCAGTCCTTGAGAGGATGGAGCCAGGCTTTTCACCGTGATGCATGTCGAGAGGATGAGAGACAGTGGGTGTGAGTTGAGACGAGAGAGGTTCATAGTGGCTGTAGGGAGAAACTTTTTCGTGCTGAGGACAGTCAAGCAGTGGAGCAGGTTGCCCCACAAGGTTGTTGCGCCTCTGTCCTTGAGGTCTTCAAGACAAAGCCCTGATCGGGCTGGTCTGCTCTCAAAGCTGACCTTGCTTTTGAGCTGGAGGTTGGCCTGGATGCAGTTCTGAGGTCCGTTCTGAGCTGAATTATCCTGTGGTTGGGCCGTGATGTTTTCTCTTTCATTCTCTCTTCCTTTCTGGATTGTTTGAAAAAAGTAATTGACTTGATACACACACATATTGGATACTTACTTACACTCTAGTATCCAATTTCTAATAATGTGTGAAATCCTCTCTTTGTGCACCTTTCTTGGGCTTCCCTTCTCAGAAAGAGACAAATTTCCTGAAGCTGCTATGGCTCAGTAGACAATAGCTACAGCACAGTACTGTCCTGATGGTATTGCTGGCAGTTCAGTTACTCAGCATTCAGATACATCTCAGTATGACTGTGTCTATGATAAAATGCAATTTTTGTGAATAAATGTGGTAGACACTGTAATCTATAGCTAAATATACTGTAAAACTAAATCTACTTTTTAAAAAGGCTAATAGCTAAACAATGTTTAAGAAATTTTTTAGTAGAATGAAGGAGTTAAAGAAGAAAGGAGTGTATCAGACAGTCTGTGGCAGAAAAAGCAGACCTTCAGCTTAGGAGTATGAAGTTCCATGTTCCCAGTTCCAAATTATGGATTAAAGAAATGTAGCTGTTCTAAAAAAATGTGTGGATTGAATGCTGGGTGTGTATCATAAACTCCTGGACATTTTTCTGTACTTAATCTGTGTATATTATGAAACTGGCCATTGTAGTGGCTTGGCACTGATGGCACTTGGATTAGTCATGGAGAGAAGCCAGTCTTTGGACATTATATATCATCAGCTGGCTTATTTTGTATGTAAAACACTGCTATGTTTTACTTGATGAAAAGCCCATCAGTGGAATGCTGTTACATCATGAGACATAACTTCAATTAGTTTGAACTTCTAGAGTGACACATGAATTAAATATTAACATTTTCTGCTCTTTAAGTAAGTAAACAAAGGACTTGGTGTTTTAATCCTTCTTCTCTGCAAGGAAGGATAGAAGGAGAACCTGCAGTTTAAACAGCAAAGCAGAAAGAAAAGTTTCCCTACTCGACTGTCTGTGTTGATTTAAGGAGGATTTAAGGAGGTCAGAAGGGTCTTTTCTGGTCGATATTTTTGTAGGTGTGATATTCTTCCAAAAAATGTTAGAAAAGACAACTTGAGTTGAAAAAAGAGGACTTTAGTTGTCTGGATTTTTGTTAGAGATGCTGTACTTCGGGGTATGTGAAGAGGTCAAACTCGGAAAAGGCTCTTTTCTGAGGAGGGTCATGTGTGCTGCAGATTTTAACAGATTGATCTTTTTTCCACCCCAGAGAGTTCTGTATTCTTAGAATAAACCTAGTGCCCCGTCACAATTTGAGTTTCACTTTCTGGGACCAAAAGAATTGAAACCCTGTTGGATCTGTTGTGCTCTGTGTGTAAAGTCTTAAGTCTTTACCTGCGTAGGACAAGTTGCCATATTGCCAGGGTAGGCAAGCTCTCCCTTTCCAAAATAAATAGCTAATATGTGATCAGGAAAAAAGTTATTTGTAAATTAAAAATAGTTATAGAGTGTAAAAAGTGTAAAAGTTGTAGAGTGTGTTTAGACAGAAGGGCAAATTTTTCATATGCTTCTCTGAGGATGAGCATCTTTAAAATGCTTGGGTCCCTCTCTCTGCAATCCTTTCTGCATCAAATTGCTGGTCTGCAGGAGTGAAGTGGAGGTATTAAGCTTAAATTACCTTTGAGGAATCCTCAGCCTGAACAAAAGGTAATTCCTACTCTTGCAGAAAAGCAATGGGTCAGTCATGTAAGTGGTGAAGCATCACTGCCAAGCCACTACTTTGGATTTTTATTTTTGCTGTCTTGCGATTTGGTCTTGTAGGTTCTTGGCTTCAGTAATTCTGTTTTACACAGTGATGTTCTTTGTAGGTGTGCTTGTAGACACCTGTTTTCCTGCCTTATTGTCTTTAAAATGAGAATAACAGCAGATCCTTACTAGCAAAGATGTTTATTCCAGTTTCCTTACACTGTTGGAAGGTATGCAGATCTTATAATAATGGGAGAAATGGACAGAATGCAAAAAATACAGATAAATGTGAGTAAATTTTAGCTGAATAAACAAAGATATACCTTCTTCATTGAGAAAGTAGCTGATAAAGGGGCTATGAGATTAATTTTACATGGCTAAACAGGCTTTAATTTCAATTTGTTTTGAAAACTGACAGAGAGTTAATGGAATTTTTGTTGTAAAATGTAATTTATTCTGCTTATCTACAGCATTTCATTTATGTGAGTACTAAGTTTAAATAAGTTATTTTTTAATTATGCAGTTTTCTTGGCAAAAATAATTGTCCTCTATTGAAAATACATTAAGCAATTTTAAGTGAAATAATGTAGCTTCTGAAATGAAACTTTAGCATTGCTTATGTTTAACATTACATTTATTTTACTAAGGCACGTTTAGAAGTTTTTTTTAATTACAGAAATGCTTAAACTTTTTTTTTTCTCCCCCAGTCATTATTTAACCTACTGGAGTTTCGAAGACTAGTTTTGAATTTCAATGCTCCTGCAAATGCTCAAGATTTGCCCCGAAACCAAAAGGTAAAATTAGAAACTAACTTCCTTAGTGGTTAAGGGCATTTCTCTGTTGTAATTGAATTTTACACTGTTCTCTATTTCAAAGTAGCACAAATTTTACAGTTGCCAGTTAACATTTCTCTAAGCTTCCTATCATCTATCTTATATTAAAAAAAAAAAAAATTAGTCTCAAAGTAGAGTACAGAGCAGAATGTTAAGACATCTAGAGTTTGATCAGAGCTCTGCTGCTTAGACCAGATCCAGTGGAAGGAAGGGGTTTGCTGACACAGCTGTAGCAGTATTGACTGTAGTGGGAAAGCATTTCTAATGTGAATGTAATTCATGTTAGGAAGCGTGTTTTATTCTAGTCCCCTCACACTGTGCCGCTACAAGTAATACTTTTTTGTTACCTCGCATATTTTTGATCTGCCTAGCTTTGCCAACAACATTATTAGTGTTGCTTTGGCCACTTCATTGTTTTTTGGGGGATGTTAATTACCTGCAGCTCGTGATTTGAGATTAAGCTTTCTGTTATTAGCTTGTCTCTTTTGGCCTTTTCATGAGGTGATTGTAAGCATAAATTTTCCCATGTTTATTCTGGTACTCGTATGGAATAGGGTGTGTGAAGGGGAGGGTTTTTGTTTTTATTTTTGGCTCAGATTTTTTGTGACCTCAGATGAATAAAGGGAAAATGGTCATGGACTGAGGGACAAAACAGGCCAAATTTTCTATCTCCACAAATGCCTTCTGAGGAAGTATTTATGGGGGTACTTTGAAGTACATGTTATGAAATAGCTGCAAAGGAAGGAATGGGGAGAGAAGGTGGCTGTATAAAGCATGAAGGCATTTGATGGTCGAATTCTATCAAGAGGTTAGAGAGCAATGAATTTTGACATCTCCAGAAGTTAGATTGTTGCCTTTTGTGCTTCTCTCTCATAATAAAGTGGAGAGTGCTGTGAGCCGCCTCTTAGCTTTTTGGCACTTCAGGTTTGACTGGAATGTGCAGTAGCAAAAATAAGAACTGTAAGTAAAAAAGCAAAAGAAAACTAATCTAGAGAAGACAGTGTCCATTTTTGAAACCTCTAGGTATGTACCATAAAGGGGAAGTTGCATGTTGAGTCAGAAGTGTATAACCTTTTTTTTTCCCCCCCCCCCCCCCCTTTCCAAACAACCAATTAACCTGTTTGTCGTTTGGTTTCTTTAGGAGAAATATTTGTGTTAGATCATGAGATGGTGTGCAAGTACAGCATTGGTAGTACTGGGAACCTGTTACAAGAGGGTGATGGGATAGTGTATTTTAGCTAGAAAAATCAGATACAGTCATCCTTTGCTCTGTCAAACAGTAGTCCTGAGATACTTTTTGATGTCTAGATTAACTTTTTGCTTATTATTTCAGTATTTGTCGTATAATTCATTCTGGTAACATCCACCAGTACTTTGCCTTTGTTTCAGGGCTTAAGAAGTAAGTCCACCATCAAAGAGGTGGTACAAAATAGATAACATCAAGTTGCTAGTAAAGACCAAGTTTTTATAACCCCAGATTTTCCGTTTCTGGATTTATCTCTCTTTCTTCTTCCAGTGGGTGGAAAGCAGAGCTTAATGCCAAGATCATGACAATTTTTTGATTTTGAATTAAAGCATGTGGTTATACTTTAGGGAGTATTGCATGGTGGGGTCTTTTTGTTCTTTCCAATCAATGTATTGAATTTAAATATCATAATTTTGCACATAACATTTTTTGTCTGAAAGTCATTGGCATAAATGTTGACTTCTTAAAAACCTACTTACCTCAGCTAATTGGACTTTGCTATTCTTGAATTCAAAGGCAAGCATACACTTAGTCTCAAACCTGGCTTTGTTCTTCTCCTTTGAAACTCATTTTCCTTCCTTGGTTTCTTATTCTACTTCCTTCTACTTGTTATTCTACCTCTACTGCTTGCTCTCCCAAAGTTACGCTGCCTAAAACATATAGCGAGGCTAACAGTTGTGTACTCCTTAACTGGGAGCAAGTGACCTGGAATTCTCTTCCCTCATGCTGTCATATGAACAGGTCTGTTTTGCTGAACAAGGCAAATATGTGGTCTGGACAATATCTTCAAGAAGCCTTTTTTTGCCACAGGAAGTGGTTTACCTGTGCCTACAGGTTAGCACGTCCTTCCCTCTGTTTCAGCATAATTGCTGTGGCCCTGTTCTGCGATAGCGACTGATAATGAATGTTTGCTATGTATGAAACATGTAGATTGCTTTAGAAGCATTTCTTCATCATAGTTGTTCCTACATCAGTACATTAAGAGATTCCTTATGCGGGCAGGATAAGTGATAAAATACAGACCGTTTTAGATTACAAACTTTTAATAGAGTTTTTATTTCCGGATTGATTTTTAACTTGTTTTGTTGTGTGTTCAGTACTCTTTTAAGCTGAGAGCCTTATGTTGTGTGGCTTCACTAATTCCTTTTGTTCTAATGCACAAGTCCTTTGTGGACCTGCATATATTTTCTTGCGGACTGGCTCATGGCTGTTGGAAGATTTTATGCTTTGTTTAGTCAGAATTACTGTTTGCTGTGACAGTGCCTAAATACTCTGGTCAAGGATCGTGACTAATGCATTAAATAGAGTTTTCTCAAAAAAATAAAAATAAAAAAACACAAAGATTTTTTAGATTCAGAGAACTTTTATAGGCTTTACAGAGGTGCTTGTTCTGAGTAATCCGACTGAAGTCGATGACCAGCTGTTCATCCTAAAGCTACAAGTATATCTAAAACTTAGCCAAATTATTATTGTAAATTTGGGTAAGTAATACAATAATGCTCACTTCCTGTGTACGTCAGATTTAACAAAAGGAAGGTGAGATGTAGGGTATTCTGTAAATGATCATCTATATTATGCATAATCACTAGTGTTGAAGCATGTGTATTTAAAACTTGAAATTTTGTTCATCTTTAGTAGATCACTTTATACAAATAATAATAAAAATCATTTTCACGATTTATTTCCTCATTTTATTCTTTAAAGTTACTTGAAAGATGTAAATACAAGGCTAATTTTGGTTTTGATGATTTAATGCTGAATTAAGGTGGAATTCTTCAGCTGTTTTGGGTTCTGTGAACATTGGTTAAAACTGGTAGGTGTTTTGCACAGTGGACTAGAAGAGCAAGTAAAACTTATTGGGAATTTACATGAGTAGTAGTAGTTTTTAGGTATTATGCAGAACATACTGCGTTTCACTCGGCATGGTTTTAAAAACTGAAATAAAACAGATATTATATACAAAATGCTTTATGCATTATATATACTATATACAATATAGTATACTATATATAATACTATATATACTTCCATAGGATTGACTATGTGGTTATAATTCTGTATGTAATATACTAGATATAATTCCATAGGATTGACTAAACAAGTCTGCTCTTTAATCAAAGTGTGCAATAGTTTGTCATCAGGTAATACCAGTTTGACCAGCAGCTGACATCTGTGCTGCATTTGAATGATATTTTGTTGTTCTAAATACAAGTGGGTATTTCATGGCTTTTAATTGCAGAAGTATGTGTCAACTCTCTGCTCAAGAGTAAGAGAGAGATCTAGTCTCTCCAGCAGTTGTAACCTGTGGTTTAATCTGTGATGTGACTGATTGTATTTCAGTTCATTTGCTTTTCATTATACGAGCAGGAAGTATCTCTTTTGCTTCTCTTCTGGAATCCGGAAAAAGAACTCTGTTCCCCATGAGCTATACTCAAGCAAATAGGTAGACAGGAAAGCAGACTTATTTCTCCTCCTTCTGTCAATAGAAATGGTAATCTGTTTACACCTTGTAAATTGAGAGTCTTCGGTGAAAAATAATTTTAAAAATGTACTAGGAAGTGAATAGGCTCAACAGCAATTCTGCTAGAGGCATAAAGGGATACCAGTTTCAATCAAATCGGTACAAATTATTCCAGGCTATTACTTAAGGCTTTGTAAAGCCCTTCTGAATATACTAACTGGTAGAGCTGGATGCTCTTTTCTTTGATGATCTTACAGGCTTTCAATTTTCTCACATTAAATGCCTACAAGCTATTTATTATATCTTATCTCACTACCCTTACTGTTTTTTAAATAATGGATCCCTCTTGGAAATTATTTTTCTTCTGTTCAGTGTTTCAGATGCACATAATAACTGTAGATAACTTTAACCCATCATCATTTAGCCAACCCACCTACATAACTTCTACTGTGTCAGATTTGTGTGGTTCGTGTAGTAATAGCTAATGCTTGATTATGAGATGCGTCAAAGGATCTCATGGGAAATTTATTATTATTTTTATTTTTTATAAAACTGAAATTCCATAGATAATTTCCTAGGGAAAAGATATCTCTTCTTTTTCCCTTCTCTATCTCTGAAGTTGGTTGTTATTGGTTGTTTACATCAGCTTTCATTTGATTAGCGGCTTCCAAATAATCTTGATGACCAACAACATGCAGAATTGGGGACACAAGCCCAACAGAATAGGAATGTGGGCCCTGGGTGTGTAGTACTGAGTAGAAAGTCTTGGGAGCAACTATTCTGTATAAAATGCAACTCTGTGCTGTCACCACTTTTCAGTTCAGCCTTATTTCAAGTCAAACAACCATCTCTAAATGCCGTTTCAGAGAGCTTTCAGTTTCTGAAATGTAACTTCATTTTCATATTGTTTTAGAGAGCCACCTTATTTTGTACAACTAACAAGTAAAAGGCGTGCAACACCACCTTTAGTAGTGCTGCAAGTAAGCTTGCGTACTACTATGGTGATGCACTGAATTATACGCTTAGTTCATTTGATAACTTTTATATAAAGTATATTTCTGTTACAACTTTGTTAAATGTTTTTTAATTCTTCTTCAAATACAGGAACATAGGAATCTGCCTTTCATGCGTGAATTGAGGTACCTGTTTGCACTTCTAGTTGGTTCAAAGAGAAAATATGTTGACCCATCTAGAGCGGTTGAAATCCTTAAAGATGCTTTTAAATCGAATGATTCCCAGCAGGTAATTCTTGCATATTTTCATTCAAGATGAAGCACGCTTTCTTAGGGTCTTCTTGTAATAGGAAATACTTAAAGTGTGGAAAACCAAAAATCCAAAAAGTCCCCAGGTACTACTAATAAACTTCTAATTACTAGTCTTTCTTTTAAAGTTTTTCCTCTTAATATTTTGTGATCTCTTATAGTCACTTTTGTACACAAATATTAATTCCAGAGAGCATACCTACCATAATTTCTTCATATTATTTTAGAAACCTCAAAGTAAACTAACAACCTCATTTTTGAAACTTTATTAATAGTTTCACACTCCTCCTTTTTCAGGGTTTAGTTTATCTTCTAAATCAGTAGATTTTTCAATGTGGTTTATTCTTCTTATTTGAAAGAAGTATATCCAGGGCTGTATAGTTAAAGTAGACTATTTGTCTGTATAGGTATTGATTTGGAGAATCTTAATGTTCATATTTGGGGAGCGTGCCTAAATGCTTTTCTGAGGAACACTGTTTCTTCAGATGCTTTGATTTTCCCGCATGTGGTTATGTGCTTAGGTTATTTAATTACAACAACATGCTGAATTTAGTGCTCTGTGTAAGTAATACTAGTGACTACGTTTTAGATAGCAAAAGGTTTGAACAATGGAATTTGTAAGATGCATTTGGACTACCATGATGTGAAAGCTGAGCCAAAACATTAAGGATCACAGGATAGTACGGTGGCTGAGGAGCACTAGAACATTAATGTGCTCTAAGAGCTACCCATAAAAAATAGTCATGACGTAGTTTGGGACATAACGTGCCTTTGGAGTTCTTGTACGGGGAAATGCTGCTATGCTGATCTTGGAAGGGTGACACCTCATTATTTTCTGTAAAATATGTGAATGTATACTGATTACTTTATAATTTTCCAACAGCAAGATGTTAGTGAATTTACACACAAATTATTAGATTGGTTAGAAGATGCCTTCCAGATTAAAGCTGAAGAAGAGAGGTAAGATTTCTTCATTTCGTTTTGTTCTCACCCTGTCTATTGAGCATTTTGATAAGAAAAAGCAAACCAAACAGCCAAAACCCCACATCTCACTGAATGGTTGAAACAGATCCAAGTCTGTAGCTTGTTTCAGTTAAAGGGTATTTTTCCATATATGCTGATACCTTTTGATTTTCTGTGAATTGTCTTTTCCACCTTCTTATTTCATATTGGCAATCTTGCTGAATGAAGTACAAAGTGACTAAATAGTAAAGATGGATATTGTTAAGTAATCAGTTAGGCTTTTTTTTTCATTTGAATGCAGTTTTGTTTCTCAACACCAGAGTTTAAATACTTCAAAACCTTACTCCTGTTTCTCTTCTCAGAAGATAAATGCTCGTTGTTTGTGCAAGTGAACATCTGCAAACTGCCTTTTGAATATATAATTGTTTCTAGAGTGTTGGAGGAAAAAGTTTTTACAAAGGTCATTTACAATTTAACCACTTGAATTGAATTTGATTCACATAACTTTTCCTAGAATGAAACACTTCAGAAACTTAATTTTTACAGTATACTTTTTATCATTGCAAATATGTGAATCATTATCATTAGAGGAAAGCAGAAAACTTAACATGCAGTAACTACGATAAGCAGCATTTCCGTAATGAATTCAAAATGCTGTGCTCATATTTGGTAGAGGTTTGTGGCTTTGTATTTGATCTTACGGTAACACACTTCATGTTTTCAGGGATGGAGAGAAGCCGAAGAACCCAATGGTAGAGTTGTTTTATGGACGATTTCTAGCAGTAGGTGTACTTGAAGGTAAGCATCTGAATTTACTTGCCCTGTGTTGGTATCTGATCAGCGCTTGTTTGGGTGCAGAGGTGAATGATGCAGTTGTAACTTTTTGCTATCCGCAGATATACACTGTAAAAATACATATTCAGGCTGTGACAAAAAGTTTGTCCTGAGAATATGAGACTGAAGGTAAATGTAGTGAAGTTCAGTGATCTGGAAAGCCTGTTCTAATAGCTTTCAGGAATTGAATGCATGTCCTTAAGTGAAGCAGAAGAGGTGCTGAGAATAAATGCTTTCAAGAGCTGATTAGCAGTGTATTTTTGCCACTATTTTTTAATAATATATAGAAGACAGTTACTGTTTTTTCAGTAAGCTAGTGTCTTGCACTCTCTCTCCATCTGCTTTAACACAATTTCAAATTTTAATTAGTGTATTTTGTTATATGCAATTTCTGCTATGGATGATTCAGCCTTTTAAAAGTATTATTCCTTGAAAACAAGTTGTTGAAAACCAGCACAAGGTTACTGAGGAAGAAGAGACTTTATAGCAAACTTCCTTTTCTTATCTGTATGTAATTAGCAAATTTGTGAAATTGCAGCGTTCTCTATTTCCAGGCAGCTCGGCATTGGGAAAGTATTTTAAGTGCTGCTGGTTCTGCCCTTCTCCTGAGAGTGAATGAATCCCAAAATGCTTTTGAATGAAGCATCTGTAATATTTAAAGTGGCTTCCAGATTGCTCCTTGGCCTGTAACACTGTGTCTAATGCCTTGTTGTCATATTTCAAACCCATTCTCCAGCTTCGTTACTATCACCCATCGTTCTCCCTCCCTTCCAGTTGAGTGCTTTTTTCATCCCTCATGTTCTCATATCTAAGCTGAGGAGATGTAAAAAAAACCAAACCAATGGGAAGAAACTGGCTCATGTAAGAAGACTTGTTTCTGACTTTTGGAAGAAATAAATCAAAATTGTAAATTGAAATCCCCTGCTGCCCATATTTCCACATACATCTGCGCTTATATCGTTATGGACTATTAGTAGATGACGGTATTGTTTTCAGGACAGAAATCTGGAGTATTCTTTTCTATGATTTAATTTTGTAAAGTGTACTTATATAGAGGACTGTCTCTTAATAGCAATTCCACTGACTTTGCTGTGACTGTGAAGGGCTGAATTACCAAGCTGTTACTTGGAAGAAGAGGACTTTGCTTTATATGTGTAAAGCTTCCCATACATCTGTAGTGCTGTGTCATGTTATGGATTTTGCTTATAGCTGATAAATGTAAAAACAATAAGAAAATGTAGTCATTTTCAATATCACGTTCAAGCTACTTTTTCGAGAACCTTGTTTTCATACGTATCATTGATTTGCTCAATATGAGAAGGTTAATGGGAATATCATTCAGTGTATTAGTGAATATAGACTTTCATAAGATTAAATGCATGTGCCTAAAACCATAACTGTTTAATCTCTCTCGTGAAGGTAAAAAATTTGAAAACACAGAAATGTTTGGCCAGTATCCACTCCAGGTTAATGGCTTTAAAGATCTGCACGAGTGCCTAGAAGCTGCAATGATTGAAGGGGAAATTGAATCTCTCCATTCAGAAAACTCTGCAAAGTCTGGTCAGGAGGTGAGTTAAATGCTCCTGTGGGCTTCTCTCAGGACATTGTTGTAGTGCCCTTTATTTTTCGTTGGAATTTTGCAGTCTACAGAATGCTGTGCTAAAGGTCTTATGAGCTGCAGTTGATATACTTAATGCTGTCTGGAGTGAACATCTTGTCTTGCTAGCAATGAGTGTGGCGAGAATTTTGGTAAAACAGTGCTGTGCAGTGTCCAAAGAATGCTGAACTTATGGGAGTATTCCCATTGAACTGAGGTCCCAGTTCATACTGAACTATTTCCGCAGGAAAAATCAGCAAGTTTTTTTTTAAGGTGACCGCTGTTCATTGCTGCTTTACAGGCTTTGATGTTTGCCTTATTTGAATTGTTAAGTTTAGGGGCTTGTACCTCTATTGACGTATCCAGTGTCATCTTCTGGTATTCTTCATAGGTCACAAAGTTAGTGCTTACTAAAAGTTGGCACAATTAAGTGCTTACGGTGATTGGCACAGGCTGGTTCCCACCTGTTGTTGATATTTGATCTGCAGAGAGATCATTGGTGTAATGCCCTGCAGTAGTTGACTGCTGCTCTTACTGACATACTGCACTGTGCCATACAGTTGAGAGCATGCGCAAGCTTCATGTTTGACCATTTCTGCAGAGGATTTTTATTTTTGCTGTGTGCTCTTATTTTTTTATTCCTTGACACCCTGCCCTCCTTTTCCTTCTTCCTTTTACTGGCTTCTCCAAGCATCCTCCTCTTTGTACACTGTAGTGTGCAATTTTCTTTTTTTTCCCCTCTTTGCTCACTGTGGTGGACAGACCTTTAGGGACTTCCTCTGGAGGCCTCTTCTCCTCCCGGGAGAGTTGCTGCTAGAGCAGGAGACTTCCAAAAGTCAGAGTTTGCTGGAGACATGGGTGGAGGGATAAAGGTGGAGTGACGCTAAGAAGTGGGGTAAGGAGAGTGTGATGTTGGGATAAGGTAACAAATGAGGCTTAGATGCAGAAGTCAAGGGGTAGGGCAAAGGAGTGGTTAGCAGTTGCAGAACCAGGAGGGTGGGCTCTGAAATATCCTCTCTTATTGCTGGCATGCATGTATATGCACAGCATTTCTTTGTGGCAGGGCTTTCTTGAACTTAATGACCTGTAGGTTATTGGTGTGAAAGTGTGGTAACTACCATTGCCCCTAAAGGCTAAACTGCCTTCTCTTTACACAGTCATTCATGTTTCATCACAACTGCTCTAAAGATGTGAAATCCTGGAAGGTTTATTCTACACCTAAACTTTCTGTTTAGATAGTTTCTTTCTTGGTGCCAATATTTTGCAGTAATAAAATTGTACTTCATTTAATTATATCAACATACACATTGATATTTAATTAGTAAACCTAGTGAAGCATACTGAAATCATCCTCTAATTTGAAGTCATATTTCCAATTTTGTGTTCTCAACAAAAGATGTATAGATTCACTTTTGTGATCTCTTTTTGTGGTTAGCTATTTTTTATCAAATAATGATCAGCAAAATCAGCTGTGTGGGTTTTTTTTTTTTTTTTATTCCAGCACCTATATAAATAACTTCTAACAATAGTGTGTTTTCTGAAATATAATTGAAAGAAAAAAACATGTTAATTCAAAGCACAGGTCTTTCTGCAATGTGTAATCTTGTATGTAGGTACCATGAAGGCAAGATTGTTCCATCTTATGAACTGAAGATTGTCTTGTAGTTAAAACTTGTGTGCACTCATGCATAAAATGTCAGTTCAGTTATAAATTCTTGATTAGAAATGTCAGGCTTGTGTTATTTTTTTCTATTTGATTGGATATTTTTGAACTTGCAATGCTCGAAAACTACAGGAAAAGGATAATCATATGCTGTTGAGCTGTGTTGAGCTTCGAGTTCAGTTCAGCTTCTTTGCCTGTGTCTATGGGAGTGAAATAGCCGTATAACATCTTGACAGTGGTGGCAAAATTTAGAAAGCTAATGTGTTAAGTCCTAATCTAGAAAAACTTAACTATATAATTACCAGGGTCAAGGCATTTCTCTGGACTTCAGTAATTAATCGATACCTGCTGCTGCTATTAGTAGTTATGATTAAGCATTGATGCCTCAGAAATGCATTGGAAGATCAGAATTACTGAAGAAAGCTGAATTTCTTACATTTTTTACAAAGTCGGTGTCTTCTGAACAAAGGCTTCAACTGATGTTTGTTCCAGTGTAGTTATCAGAGCTTTAAGATAATACTGATGTGGTAGTCACACTTGTTCGGCATCCTTTTTATCCAATAAGTAACATTCCTTTTCTTCTTGTTCCCACAAGTTGCTTTAATTGGGTGTTTAGCTAGTTGTTAGTTATTTTTATTATTGTAAAAGCCCCAGCCACAAAGCAGTCTGTCAGCGTGCAAGGAAACGTACAAACAGAACAAAAAGACGCTCCCTGTCCCAAGAAACTTAAAGCCAAATTGAAGGAAAGATGGAGTCAGCGGAGTAGATGAAGGGAGATGCAGAGGGAAAATGAGGTAACATTTGTTGACATCACGATTGATGGACTTCAGCACATCAACAATGTGGTCATTGCTAAGTCGTTTAAGGACACTGCAGTAAAAGGATTTTAAGGAAGGATGGTGATGTGGTTTTGCTGATTTTTGGCAGTGGAACATTCTCCTGTGTGAAGGAATTGCAAGAGAAAAGTCAGGATTGTCGTCTTTACAACTTAAAAGGTGGGTAGTGGAAGCTGACAAAAGAAGAATGAAGGCAGCTTATTTTGCATGTGAACGTGTAAAAAGAGGAGTGATGCTGAAGGCAATGAACTAGGAAAATTCAGCAAGGCTTGGATAGTTGTCAGGGTGACAAGGCTGTGCTTTTTAAGGCTGGGTTCTCGAGAGGGAAGGAGAGGGAACATTGCACTGAGATGTAAAATGAGAACCTAATCAGCCTTGTAGTTGTGAGCTTAGGAAGAAAAGGTTGTCTTGGAGGTGTTATTTGAAAAGAATATGCAAGACGTTTGGCTGGAGCGGAGAACTTGAAGCAAGTCCTGAGCCACATGTCACATCCAGGTTGCCTTGGCATCAGAATTGTGTAGCAATGCTGAATATAGCAATCAGGAGAAGCTTGAATTCTTGGTTAGGCATTGAAAACTTATTTAAATGGATAGATCGTGGTTTTTATTTTGGGGATGGGGAGAGAACTCTAATGCCAGAGATGGTAGCTGAATTTGTCTTGTGGTTGTGTGTACAAACTATAGAAAGAGGGAAGGGCTAAGGATAGACCTCTGCTGAATTCCAAAAGAAAGCTGGAAGATGACAACAATAGGGATTGGTCCAAGCACAGGCTAAAAATGATTAGGGAGATGAAAAGAAAATTTAGGAGAGGGTATTTGTAGGAAGAATATCTGCTTAACAGAGCTGAGAGGGGTTGCCAGACTTGGGGACCACCAACTCATCCTACTTACAAGGAGGTCATTAGAAATTTTGAGTGATTTTAGGTGAACGAAAGGGTCAGAAACGACATCTGAGGAAACTGGAGGGAAGAGCACTCCGTACAGTATAACCAACTCATTTAGTGGCCTTTGAGAGTAAAAGGAGAATGGGACAGCGGGTAAGGCAAGTTGGTTCAAATGTCGCTTGCTTTCAAAATGAGCGTGACAAATGTGAAAGGAAGAAGCTAAAGAAGATGGGGCCTGCTCTGCTTATTCACTTAGCCATAGGCGACTTGTAATGCTCTGTTGCAGCGTGAGTGAAGCAAATGGTCTTTGTTTTCAGTGAAGCTGGAAGATGAGAACTTTGGAAAGCTAATGCTGACCCACTGTCTTAAAACCAATTTCTCCCATAGCTGTCAGTATGCAAATATTATGCCATTGTGTTTGAAGTTCTGTTATTTGAAGGCATTCATTGTGGGGTTTTCTGTTTTTTGTTTTGTTCAGCACTGGTTCACTGAACTTCCTCCTGTCTTAACTTTTGAGCTCTCAAGATTTGAGTTTAATCAGGCTTTGGGGAGACCAGAGAAGATACACAACAAATTAGAATTTCCTCCAATTTTATATCTGGACAGGTACAGTATAAAATTGTCAGCAAAGTCCTAGTATGAATATAAATTAAATTTCATCAATTCAGTAAAACTGCTAGTGCATCTTATGCTGGCTTAAGTCACAGTGAATTTCTGTTCTAGCTGGACTAGTTGTAATTTTTATGGATTTCAGTGACTATTTCAGAAAATACACATAGGTAACAGTTTCAGACATGCTGCTACTTTGTGCCAAAACCTGCTTGCAATTCAGTCCTCAACCCAGTTTATTGCTAGCTAGTTGTATGCACAGGCAAAACACCTTGAAAGATGCGTTGGTGTGTTTATTGGTCCATCTGGGAAAGAGGGAGAGATGTCTCACGTTCCCTGATGTTTCAGATGCACTGCATGGTTTGAATGAAGATACTTGAAACGTAAGGATTCTCAGCGTCAATAAATGATGTTTATATGTAGAGGTGAAATATCATCGTGGCCTTCAGTTAAATACTAAGTGCTATTTGTGAGCCTAAACAGTGAAACAGGAGCGTTGCTACATGGATGCTAATAAAATCACCTAATTTAGAAGCCTTCTGATATGTGTTTGCATACAGATTTGAAAGACCTATCTATGGTATGAACAGAGCTTTTTGAAATTGGGTTTAAAGCATCTTCTGGAAGTCATGGGCGGGGGTTAATGGGTTTACTGTTTTCTTAGTTTTATTTTGCAGCTTAACATGTTGTAGGTGAAATAAAGCAGGTTCTAGAGAGCGTGAGGCCTTTTGTTGGCAATAAATGGCTTGGCTGACGGATGCAGGCTTCAGTTTCAGTGTTGGAATGCTGTGGGCTGATGTGTCTTTCTAACTTTCGTGTTTTACAGATACATGCACAAAAACAGAGAAATAACAAGAATTAAACGGGATGAAATCAAGAGACTTAGAGAATACCTCACGGTTTTACAACAAAGATTAGAACGGTACTATAGATAACTGTTCCCAGTGTAAACACAAGTAATACTATGGGCTATATAGAACAAAATAACCCCTTTCATCTGTATACTTTTGTGTATAGTAGTTATTTGTTCTAAATTTCCCTGCTGTCTCTCTTTTATGTTACTATTTTACGTGGAAACTTTTATAAGGGCGATAGTTTTGATGCATCAAATTTATTAAGAAAGATTTATTTTATTTAATTGTAGTCTGCCAGAAAACCTTTTTCTTCTTCTTTTTTTTTTCGTTTTTTTCCCTGTATCTGTGAGTCATGGCATTAATACGTTTTATGGTTAACAGATATTTAAGCTATGGTTCTGGTCCTAAACGATTCCCCTTGGTAGATGTGCTGCAGTATGCCTTGGAGTTCGCCTCCAGCAAGCCCGTTTGCACGTCTCCCGTTGACGATCTTGATGCCGGCGCCCCCTCTAGCGGCACGCTGCCCGCGCAGACCACACCAAGGTAACCGCCGCACTGCCGCTCTGCACCTTGTCCTCTCCCCCTGCCTTTAGAAACTCCCTTTGGAAACAACTGATAACGCATTTCAAATGGAACTGTGTCTCTCCAGAAGTGAGAGAGATGAGAGGGAATTCAACTATTTAATTTACAGTGCTAGTAAAACTAAGCGTCTCCTGGTGGAGATGGGTGAAGTTTCTGCATTCTTCCTAGACATATGTGCCACTATGACAGATTTATAAGTATGGGATTGTGTAATCTGCTTATAAAAACTTGTATTTTATAAGCAAATCAGGGAATTACCAATTTCAAACTAAAACCAACGACCGTAGTGCTTTGTGATATTGAGCATCTTAAGTTCTTGCTTAATTTTCTAAACACCAAGTCGTCTCTTGCTTACTTGAATTGACGCAATTCCAAGTAAACACAATGTCTGATGATGTCATCGTTTTTCAAGTGGCCTATATCGTTTTTAGGAATCTGAATTTGGACAGCGCATGTGTGCTGCACACCTTTGTGGTTTCTGGTGTAGAACTGATCTGTTAGTTTTTGCCTGAGTTAAGCTGTTCTGCTTTGCCACTTAAATTGCTGTCTGAAATTGACAGGAACTAAACAGTCTGACTTCCTTTATACAGACTAGCTAAATATCAGGGAGATAGAGGTCAAATAATGTTGTTTCATTCATTATTAAAAATAAGAGAGTTAATGGCTATACAAATTAGGATAGGTCTTGCCTGTGTGGACACTAACTGCTTATATCAGAGCTTTTGATGTTGGATTCTGAAAACAGGGTTCTAGGTCCAGTCAAGATGCCTAATTTTGTACTTCAGAGAAGTAAAGTCAATGAGTCTAAAAAGCCTGTAAAAGTCTTCAAATGCCTTACTGCTGTAGTGCCAATAGAGATACTGATGATTGATAAGAGAAGACAAACTCTAAAAAGATGCATTGTTTACTTGCACTACAGTATTGAAAGTGCTATACTTTGTTCGAAATGCTATATAGGAGGTTTATATTGTAAAATGTAGGTGTTACTACTTTTTTGCCAACCTATAGAAACATGAAAGTATGTTATGCGGAGTGGCATTGTCAGCTCTTAATGTTCTCAGAACTTCCTAAAGACTCCAGCTTCCTCACGCTACATCACGACGCCATACCCAGAGTAAATAAACAGTGACTTGCCAGGAAGATCTTTCCATTCATGTTATGTCTACGACTGCATATAGGTCTCTTAGGTTGATGGGAAGAGAAAAGTCAGTAACAGATTTTAATTTTTAACATTCTGCTGCTCTGGTAGAATTCCCCTAAGTTGACTGCTTTGATATTTAAGTCACAAGCCTTGTTTAGAACAAGTTTAGATGGTATGATGCTAAATCCCAGTGTGCATAAATATCAGAGTTCTTTACGTTGTTGCTCTTTGGTTGACATAAGCTGTAGATAGGTGATCACAGAAAGTAAGTCTGCTAGGCATAAGATACGTGAAGTTTTTACTAAACATAGAAGTTGTTGTGTTTAATGGCTTTTATGATTAATGGACCGTAAGACAAGATACTGAGTTTTTGCTCTCTGATGTTTGGCAATAAATGTTTTAAACCGCAGTGATTACTTTTGTGACGTTATTTGAACATGTTGGATAGCATTTCAAGTAGAGCAAACTAGTAGTGGCAACCAGAGTTGTTATTGTGCTAACAAATAATACAACAGAAAGTTTTCAGAAACTGTATAGTAATTCTACAGCAATATTGTAGGTGACTTTTCTGGATTACACCGAAGGAACTTAACAGCTTTAAAATTTCTGTATTCAGATGAAAAAGCTTATTTTTAATGTGCAGCTTTCAGTTTGTATACAGGATGACTTCACTTTTGTATTTCATGTTTTGAATGAATGCAGCACAATAGAGCCGCAGGGGCCTTCATCTTCAGATGTTCCAAGCACATCTCCTGTACAAAGATCAGTAATACATAAACCATTCACACAATCACGAATTCCTCCTGATCTGCCAATGCATCCAGCTCCAAGGCACATCACTGAGGAAGAGCTTTCTGTTCTAGAAGGTTGTTTACATCGTTGGAGGACTGAAGTAGAAAACGACACTAGAGGTATTGCCACAGTTTGGAGCATGTAGTTGCAGTTGAAAAGGATCTGTAGAGCTGGGGGGCTGGGAATAGCTTTAATGTACATACGTGTGTCTCAAGTTGTTTCATTAGTTTTAAACTTATCTCTGACTTACAGGAAGGGAAACTGGTTATACCAGATCTTAGTAGACTAGAAGTATGTAAAATGAAGATGAAAAACTGGGCATTGAGCGTGTAACACATGGGGACATTTCAGCGCAGGTTTCTGCATGTATGGTAAGGCATTGGCAAGAATAGGGTAGAATGGGAATGATATCCATGCCAGAAAACTTTCTACAAGAAAGATTTAGCTGTCAGTGTGAGAGTGGGTTGGGCTGATTTTGTATCTTGGCATTCTGTGGGGATGTTTAAGATAGCCACCCTCTGTGAGGGAGAAATGACAAAATTTCCATGCAAAGGCTTTTTACGGTTAGTAGAGCTTATGATCTGTTGTATTACTCTGAGGGGAAAAAAGGGCAGTAGTTGTTGCACTAGGGGATGAGATTGGTTGAGGTCCAACAAGCAAGCAGCAGCATATCATGAATCATTCTATCTGCTTTTTCATCAGAGAAGTTTGTGTTTGACCTGTAGATGCACCAGACGTGAAACCTTAGAGCCTTTAATAAGGAAAAAATGAAGATGTAGCAATGTACCACCTTGTGGCGTCACTTTTTTGTTAATTATTATTCCTTTAGATTTACAAGAAAGTATATCTAGAATACATCGGACAATTGAATTGATGTACTCCGACAAAACAATGGTCCAAGTAAGTAAACCTTCTGCATGAGATAATCCAAAATAGATCCTTTTTATCACTTCTATTACAACTCTTAAATGCTTAAAAATAGAACAAGTATCCAGCTATTTTATACAGTGTGAGAAATTTCGTTGGAAAATCATAATGGGTTTTGCAAACCTTTTAATTATGCACAGTCAGATGTAAGACAGCATTGTAGTATTTTACAGGTGACAGAAGACAGGTATAACATGAGATTTGTATAGGTTTAACTGACTTTGTGACAAAAAGCCTAAATAGGTTCCATCTCTAATCAGCTCTTGACTGCAGTGCAGAACCTCTGTTTTTGTGTAGCACAATACAATTTTATCACTGTGATTTGACCATATTGCTATATCTTCTGATGGTTTTAAGATGGCAAAATGTTAGATACATGAAACTGTTATTTGTGTACTTCATTGCTTGTTACCATTGTATTTTGCAACTTCCATATTAAGATTTGGGACTTCAAGGCTCTTGTTTTTAATTCGTAGTTAATAATGCTAGTGGTTATTTTAATTCTGTCTTGATTTAATACTAACGAGAAACCAACTATTAGTCTGTGCTGCCCTTTTGGAAAAATGTCATGTTCTGTAATCCGAACAGCAGATTTAGTGTGTTTAGTATGCAGTCATGGCTTCTGTGATATTCCTGTGTTCACTTAGGCAGGTTTTAAGGTTAAGGTTTATTCCTGTTACTTTTTTAATAAGAAACGATATTTGCCTTCCAATTAGAATCTATTCAGCCTACACTCTTCCTTCAGGTACGTTTTGGTTTTGTGCATAGTTTGTTATAGTTCATGGCAGCTGAACTCTGATGTTAAGAGTTTCAGGCAGTTGCCTAGATGGCTTTCTTTAAACTCTCTAGTGGCAGGCATTTTTTTTTTTTCCCTCAAAGACTTGTGTTATATCAGGGAGGCTACAGGCCACCTGTCGTCTGACAGTATGTAAAGCAATTTGAGGACTTAACTGCTGGGTGCAGCTATTCAGTTTTTTGGATTATTATGCCCCTCAGGCAACTCAGGATAAAGGCACACACTTTTTCTGCTTTCAAGGTGATCTGATGTCCAAATAACCCACCTTTGTTGGCTTACGTGTTACAGGAGGAAATCCCTTTTCCTGGCTAGGATATTAGTCGGCAAACATTACACTAGAGACAGGAGGCCACTTGGTAAAAAGCCTTTTCCTGATGCACATCTGTATAATGTAGAGTAGATGTTTATTTTTATTCCCTACTGAAACAGAGAATTCCAGAAACTGAGGAGGAGGAAGACAGCATACAGACTTGTAGAGAGGGTTGCTATACCGTGCCTGCAGTTGACAGTGGTGATGTGTGTTGTTAGGAGATTGTTAGAGAATATGTAGCTACTGAACCTCTCTGAAATTACAAATTGGAAGTAAAAGGCTGCCGTTCTGCAGCTCACCCTGTTTTGTCCAGGTGGGTGTTCTGGCAGAGTAAGAAAGAGGCAGGTGCATATAGCTGTCTGTTTACCTTCCCCTGCCCACCTCTGCGTCCGGGTGATTGGATGGGTTAATATTGCCCTGTCCTCTGGGGTTTTTTTTTTTATGGTTTTTTTTTTTCCTCTCCTCTGAATCAGTGACATATCTGGCCACACAAAATTAGTCTGTTCTTAAGGAAGTAGTATGATATTTGCAGGACACTTCCTAATGTCTGTATGAACTACGTTAAGAAGCTCCTAATAAGCTATTCCTTGTGTGTTATTTTGATTCTGAGGAAACTACAGTTGTCTGTCAAATCATCATGTGAAATATATTTCTGAAATCCTTGTTTTGTCTCGTCCTCATGAATGAATAGATTCATTGGCTGCTTATGAGAGTCCCCTCTTTTCTTTTCTTCCTTCCATGAAATTGCTGTGGAGGATAAGAAATAGAGATAAGAGGCACGTGTTGTTCCTGTGGGAATTCCTCCTAGTCTAAAGCTGGAACTAAGATAAACTTCATAGCCTGATCTCACTCTTATTGTTAAAAGAACTCTATTGTATTTAGAGAGCAGAGTAGATAGCAATGGATGTTACCCTGATTCTGCAGATGACCTCTGCAACAGCCTGTACAGTAGATTACTGAGCATCCCATAAAGATGGAACATAACCCTCTCTTTCTGTAAGACCTTAATGTAGAAACCAAAAGGGGAAAAAAGGTACCCAAGGTAGCCTGTGATGCCAAAGAGGATTGTTATAGTAAGGATTAGCTTAAATCTCTTAGGCTGATAGTTCTGTGGCCTTATACTGTTTTGCTATACATATGCTGGTTCGCTGTTTATCAGATGGGATGAAGTCATATAATCAGTGAAGATGTCACCAGTGTCCCTTGAAAATATTGTTAATCTTGTTCAGAGTCCTCCTGGACTACTTAATTTACTAAACTGACCAGTGGTGAACGCATGCAGTACCTTCACTGAAGTGTTTGTGTCATGGTGACGTACTTTGCTTGTCAGTCATGTTGTTATAGTTATAAGGACACCATTCAGATTTTCATTGCTTTTCCTACTGGGTCTCTGGTTTGGGTTTTGGGGTTTTTTTGTTTGTTTGTTTCATTTGCTACTCTGGTGTGCCTGTTCTGTGATCGGGTGTGAGGAAGGTGGGGAGGTTCCTTTTCTGTTTCATGAGCTGAAGCCTAAGCTATGAAACTTAATGCTAACTATTTACTGAGTGTGTTGCTGTGTGCCACTAATTGCTGTTGATGTAACAGCTTATTGTAAGACACCTCTTTTGGCACTGAATTCACCTGTCAGTATTGTGTGTCCCTCCCGTCACAGATTAACAGTTAACATTCCTTGCGACTCAGGCTAGACAACTGACAGCCACTTCTCCAGAGCTGGAGAAAAGGACAGAGGCTTTGAAGTGGAGCCAGTTAGCAAGGTTTTAAATAAAACTATTTTAAATCACTTCGGGTTGTACTGTGCTATTTTAAGGTGAGGAAATTTTATTATAGAAGCCTAAAGAAGATTTCATTTGCTTGTTTTTTTTTAATCAGGATCTGCATACTGCCTTTATGTGCATGCACACAGAATTGCAATCACTTTAAGAAGGCTTTCGCCTTGGTTTGGTAACAGATGTAAAAAAAAAAAAAAAAAAACCAGAGCACTCAATTTTAAGGAGTTGCTAGGGCTTCTTCTGCGTATGCTTTTGTTTGGGAGACTGACAAAGCGTGAAGTTTAGGCTGTGGAATGGTAGTCTGACAGCTGCTATGCAGTCGGCTAGATTAACAGTTCAAGGGAGGCTGCAAAATCTTCAGACGTTTGTGAATAGCTTGAGAGAGAATGATCAGGTTAAGAATACCTTCAAAGAGTTTCTCAAATCATAGTTACATATGTATTTATGGTCACTGATTATTGTGGTGGTAGATGATGATTACAACTTTTCAGTACGTGTTATGTTGAATAGATCATTTATCTACAGTCCAGATTGTGACAGCGGGGCAAGATGGTTTCAGGTTTTTCCTCCTAGCTAAGCTGCTGGCATTCAAATTTCTAAGTACTTAAATAGGAGCTAAGTATTGCATTCCTCCCTCCTCCTGGTAGGTGAATGCACCTCACCAGTGATACTTTTTGCATTGTTGATCCTAGAAACTGATATCTTCCTTCTCTGCCTCAAAGGGAGGCATGTGTTCCTTGCTTTTCTTAGCACTGCTTTTACTGAGTTAGTGAATACTGGAAAACAGTTGTATTCCTGTTCTGCAACATTTATAGTTTCATTAACACTCTAACACTCTTTTTAAAATGGAATTCTCGAATTCTCCTTTAAATAAAATCACTTAATGGCCACTGACTCCTAGAAAACACTGTGTTTATTACCTTGAATTTAAATATGCCTTTTCAAACTTCAGGATAAGTTTACCAGTTCAGGACTGGAACAAATCACAGACACTAAGGGTTGACACACAGGGGTTTTTTTGAGATGCAAAGAAAGTAGGAATAACACAAAATTAAGAAAAGAGGAAAAGAGGGTACCTGGCAGCAAAGACAGGAGGCTCTTTACTCTTTAGTATGGATCCACTAATGTTTTTAAGATCTCTTGTAAAAACGGTGGTAACTAAAATGGTTCAAAGCAATTTAGCTTAGTGTGTTGTTAGTTTTACCTCTTTATTTTCCCTTTATGTCATGTTTTCGTCCTCTTAACTTTATTTGTATTACCTTTATTTGATATAACTATTAGTACTGTCAGGTTACTAGAAACTGAACGCTGGCAGGGAGAGATTAATATTCTGTTTTGTTTTGTTTTTTAGGTTCCTTATAGATTGCATGCTGTGCTAGTTCATGAAGGTCAAGCTAATGCAGGACACTACTGGGCATATATTTATGACCACCACCAGAATAGATGGATGAAATACAATGATATTTCCAAAGTCAACATGGGAAGAGTTTGAACGTGACTCTTTTGGTGTTTACAGTAATGCCAGTGAATATTGTTTAATGTATATCAATGATAAGGAACAATACTTGATGCAAGGTAATGTCAATGGATGCATTTTCAGAATGAAGTAGAATAGTTGAAAGTACTGATAGAGCTTCTTTCAGAACGATTTCCAGATTTTTGAAATGGTTAGAAAAATTATAGAAAGTTCTATTTATGCTCGTTACTGTCAGTCGTATTATTTTTTGCAGGTGAAACAACTTCTATTCAACTTTACATACAAAAGGGTTAATAAAGATAGTGCCACTATTTTGGCATTATGCTAAAAGAGCAAAATTTATTTGCTATTTTACAAACTTTTAGGCACATTTCATGGTTAGTATTTAGGAGGTGTTACCTCACTGAAGAAAATATGGAAAAGCCAAAATGACTCTCTCAAAATTAAAATACTCTCAAATCCTTTTTTTTTTTTTTAATAAGCTTCACAGTTTTAATGAACTTTACGCAAGCATGGAAACTTGACGCTTTATGCAGTATACTGAAATGTCGATAAAAACCTTACCAAGCACAGACTTAATCAAAGAAATGCATGGGTTTGAAAACTCTTTTCATAGCATGTAGTTGTATGTAACTAGAATGCTCATAAGGAAATATTTGGAGTGAGTTTCATGAGGCCTGATAATGGTGGCTAGGGAGATGACTCTGAAAATGCCCAGTGGTTCGGCAACAAGTTTTGAAGCCTGGTGAAAATGTTCATGTTCCTATCTTTTCGTAGGGCAAAAAGCTAGAAATTTCATTTTTCTGTTTTTACATGTGAACTGATATGAATCTTGACGTTTCTAGATTGCCAGATTAATAACAGATTTAGGGTTTATGAGCCCTGTAGGATGGCTCTGCCGCTCTAATAAAGTTTGAGACCTGCTGGTGGGAGCAAATGCAGCTGATTTGTCCCTCAGGACCTGGGATACCCTTGCAGAGACCATTTTCAAAGGAAAAATGAAGGTTACTTCACGTAGCTGGCATTCTTATCAGTTGCCTTTGCAAGTCCACACAGGCCTGCTCTCCTTCCTCTTTTCTCCTGGATAACTGCGTTCTTCCCAATTCTATATGGCAGTAAAACAGTCAAGCTTATGTTTTTTGGTGCCGAAGTATGTATAAACTCAAGATTGAAAGAGCAGTGGCAGTGCATACCCGTAGCAGAGAAGTTTCTAACAGATAGTAAAAATAGTAAATGAAATACACTTGCTGCTATACTGCATGTTTTCAGTAGTTCACTTGAGTAAATTTATTCTATATATATATATACATATATATATTTTTTTATATATATATAAACATACATATATATATGTTTTTACCTACTCTTTCTTTTTCTGAAATATAAATTGTATGCTACCATAGAGGAGTTTAACAAAGAAACAGGACAGATACTTGTCGGAATGGACACGCTACCACCTGATTTGAGGGATTATGTCAAGGAAGACAATAAACGTTTTGAAAAAGAACTTGAAGAATGGGATGCAGAACTTGCTCAGAAAGCACAGCAGGAAAAGTTACTATCTCAGATACCCAGGGCACCAGCACCTTCCCCTGCTCCAGGTTAGTTTTTCCTACCTGTTTTTGTAAAAGGAGTAGAACCAAAAATAACTGGTTTGTGGGTACATCATTTCACAGCTTAAGAAAGGAAGAAAAAGTTAATTTCTGTTATCTTGAATTATAATTATTTGGCCAAGGTAACTGCATTTGAGGTTTAACCTGTTGATTTTTGTTGGATTTTAATTTTTTCTTAAAGAAATGAGTTGGTGGTTCTTTCCCTCTCCCAGCTGTGTTTAGCTGGTACTAGATAGAATGCTTTTTTTTTTTTTTTTAAACATGCAAACTGTGGCCTTTTTAACAGATAATTAACAATTAACAGCTCTCACTAGTCAGCTTTGAGAGTTTATTAGCCTTTCAGTAATGTATGTTCTTCTCTTTGGAGTGACTGAGTAGAAGACCTATCTTTTCATTTCAGTTAGAGCAGAATTTAAATCTGAAGAGAAGAATAGCTTGGTGTGATGTGTGGAATACAATTTGCAGTAGTAGAGCTCAATTAATGTAATCATTAATTGTATTGTGTTTAAAAAAAAAAAGTTAAAACCATGCGAAAGCTCTGAACAGCAGTGGTGAAAGCCGGTGCTGTTAGGACCTTAACTAATAAAGACCACTGGCAGGCAGCATAAAAGTAGGCCTGCCTTGACGCAGAAGAATGTGTCAAGTTTTAGGTTACATCCACCTTTTGCTCCATTGCAAAAGGCTGTTCATACATCATATCAAAGATGACATAATGGATTTGTATAGTGAGACTGCTTTCCAGATGTTCTCATGGTTGTACTTGAGTCATTAAGGCTGCACATGCCTTTGTCTTGACCGTCTGTCACTACAAACTGAATATAAAAAGCAAAGTGAAATGATTTAATGATGCTTTTCTTGCAAACTCTGTGGAGAGTGACTTCATCTTCCATATGCTTTGACTTCATAAACACTTTGAGACTAGTTTTAGTTTTTTCGTTAATAATAAAAATATTAAATGAATATGTTACTTTTGTCTGTCAGAATTTCCTTTCTTCATATGTGAAATATAAAACACTATTTATGCCATTCAGTTTTATTTCTCCCAAGTGAGGGAGGCTGAGATTTCTCTTAAGTCAGACGGCTATAGTGTGTTGCTTATTTTGGAACGTTAAAATATATATTTGGAGCTCTAGTAGCTGTAGATCATTCCATTTATTGGGTGTGTATCCTGCTAAAAGTCCCCGCAGAATCTCATCTTTGTTCTCAGTCCTCCCCCTTAGGGCAGATAAGCACCCTTCACTTCAGAGCTTTGATGGTTATATAGGCAGGACAGGTCAGATAATCTTAGTGTAAAATTATGGATCTGTTCATGTGAAAATTTAAAATTCCCTAATACACTGGAAACTAGTATAATGTTGGATTTGTGAATGATATGACCTACTGTGCATCTTCGGTACTGGTTACTTTATAAGACACTGATCCAAATAAAACTAATCAATTCAAAGTTCATGCTTATATTAACATATGGAATTGTTATCTTATTTCTGTCACTAAGTTCAAGCAGGAGAACCAGAATATTTAGAGCAACCATCAAGAACTGATCTTTCAAAGCACTTAAAAGAAGATTCTGTGCAAGCAATCAATAAAGCTTTAGCTGAACAAGAGGATAGAGGTCCAGAAGCTATTATGGATACGGTGAGGATATTTTGAAGCTTAAAATATCTTTTCCCTTTCATGTTGCAAGTGGAAAGGGTGATAACTGGCAAAAAGAGAGGAGAAAAAAAAAAACTTTGAACAGAAAATTATCTGTCCAGCACTAAAAATCCATGAAGAAAGAGTATAATATATTAATGAGCACAGTATAATAAAAGTACTAAGGTAGATGTCCTGTATGTGATTATGATACTTGTCATGATTACTGGATGTTGTTCAAAAAATGACCAAGCATTTATGGCTACCATCAAATAATCTTTTCAAAATGTTAGATGATTTCATTTATTTTGACAAATAAACATTAATATTCCAGATAAAAGGCTGGAAAAAATATTACTTTGAAACATTATTGTTATCTGTGGAATATAAAATTATAAATTAAGTTTTCTTGAAAGGACTACAGGAGCTTTTAAAGATTTTTTTAACATTTTGTTTAGAGAAGGTAGCTTTAGAAGTAATGGATTTCTGAAGGTGAAAAATCATCAAGAAAATTTGCAATATGATAAAACTTTTTATTTAACAGGATTCTGTAGCTTTAATGTAAATTCATAGTTTCTGAAAATTAAGCTTTGTGATTTATCAGAATATATTTGATATATTATAAGAGGTAGAGCATTGGGTGATGCTGTTTTTTCTCTTCATATTGCAAATAGTAAGAGGAATTGCAAATTAACTGCCTCAAGAGTTATTAGTAAATCTAATATTTAAGTTTCTGCTGAACAGTTTTTACTTTCAGCAAGTATTTTTTTTGTTTCACTATAGGTATATAGGTAAATGATCAATGTCACAAAAGTGAATGCATTTAAAGCAATATATGCATCTATTTTGGAACCATAAACTTCAGAATGAAACACACAGATTGTATCAATTTATTTTTTCGGTTTAGCATGCTCAGGCACCACTAGTGACCGCTAGTGATGTGACCAACTTGGATAAGTGGAAAATTTCAAATGTACTTCCTAAGGACTCAGACCAAAACTTATTAAATGAAATTAGTCTAGCCCCAGGTATCTTTGTTGGCAACAGGAAAGTCTGCTTAAACCTCTTGAAAATGACATGACAACTTGTTGACTCTTATTGCAACCTGGAGATTATTGCATCTTTCTCTACTGTGATCTCAGGAGAGCAGTCTCTGCTAAATTGAAATTAAAGCCAACAGGGAAACTAATCTAACCTTGGATGAAAAGATGCTCTACCACTAATGTTTAGGTTACTGCATATCTGGCTTTTTGAGTTCCCTGAGTGCACTGAGCATCACAAGGGGATCTGGTTTAATGAGCCCTCCCCAGCTGAGACGGTAAACTCTGACGATACCCAAGTCATGATTAAATGCCTTGCCTGATGCTATCCTCTTTCTGGGGTTTGTGGGCATCCATCCCAGTGGGATGCGAAAGAATCGTACAAACTTGATTCCGAGGATCAAGTGTTATATTTCAGGCTAGTGACGTTTCACACAGTGGTCAGCCTTAGGGCTGTACAAGACTGTGATTGTGGAACTGAAGGATGTATTTTATTTGAGAAGTAACATGTAAAATCGTTTGAAGGTTAAAACATTGTGACAGCCTGAAGGAGGCAGAAGTAAGTCTCCTTGTTCCAATATTTTCAGTTCATTGTTCTGCAACAAGGTGAATGTCTTCCTTCCCTTCCTGTTCCCCCCCACCCCCAAAAAAGGAAGGGGCAGAACAAAACAAGCTCTTTTATTTAGAAACAAAAATCTTTCAGCTGCTAGAACCTAAAGGCAATTCTGAACTAGTGTAAAGGAACTTCACTAGTGTTTAAGAGCTATTATCTGTATACCCAAAGGTGACTTACACCAAGAAGGAAGAACAGTTCTACCTCCCTCCTCTTTTAATTGCAATTCTCCTTCCATATGCATTCTGACATCTAGGTATATATGGCTTATCTCAACTTATTATTTGCCCATTTTAAAAGAAGGAAAACAACATCAGAACACATAACAGGATTGCAGGCTGCTCACCACATGAACATTTGTGCCCATTTCTTGTCCATCTTTCCCTCTCTCCACCCCGCCCCCGACTGCACAGTCTTCCTTTGAATTTTTACAATGCTGAGTGACTAGATACCATTTCTTATGTATGTTTCTGGAATCTTTGTTCAAAAATGAAACTATTGCAATAGTTGCAGGCCAGCGGTGTACCTTTCTTTCCACACTCTGTGATTGCATAGACTAGAATCAAGGTTTAACTTCTGCAAGTGCAAACTGGCCATCATATAATGATAGATGGTAGTAGCTGAGATGATCTCCTTTGTTGTTTAAAAGCTTACTTTAACATACTGAGAATTTCAGTGACTAATCTTTTCCATTTTTCTGTATAGTTACTTTTCTAAAAAAAAGTAAGTCTGTTGAACATAATGCATCTTTAGATATTCTTTCAAGTATCTTAATTGCTAGAGGTGTTTTTGTATTTCTTCTAGGGCATAAGAAAATGTTTGTCTTTGGCTTGTCGCCATCCTCTAGTATGATTTCCTCAGATAGTTCAGTTGTATTTAGTAGTTCTTTGGTGGAATATATGAAAAAAGATGGTGGTTCAGAGACTCATCCTTTAACAGCTGCTTTAAATTTGTAATGGTTGTTTCAAAGTTGCATTGATGGCATACCACTCTCTGAAGATGTGATTAGTGAATAAGTGAAAAATGAAATCTTCTTCCACAGTTATGGCCTAATTAAAAATCCACAGAATTAAAAATTTAAGAAAGTATAAATAATGAGAAAATGTGATATTTGCCACTTTTTTCAAAACGTCAGGAGCGCACATCATTTTACTTGGTCAGGCTGTCAGTTTGTGTCTCTCTGTATTTTTTTTTCTATTTCTGATCCCACCCTACATACTGATAATGGTTTTCTTCTGCAGAGCTCTGATAATGCCCCAGCTCAACCAGCTGCTAACCAGCGAGTGGTAGAGGTGGCGATCCCCGATGTAGGGACTTTTGTGATTGAGTCAGAGGAGGGGGGTTATGACGATGAGGTACATTTGATTGCAATTGTGTGCACCGCTCCTACTCGGTGCTTTCTTATGCTGCCTGATGAGAGTTTTTGGCATGCTCGCACATCATGACACCTAACAGATTTCTGCATAACTAAATGCTTAGCAATTTGTAATGATAACGGTCTCTTACTTTGTAACGAAATACAAAAAGAAAGCACTAGCTACTCTAATTGGGCACGCTTTGCATGGTATAGTTTACACTGAAGGTATACTTGTCTTTACAGCTGTGGAAGTTGAATGTTTGTGTTAGGCCAGAGAGACTTTGAAATGCTGGTATTAGACTGTGGATTCCTACTATGTTCTTTTTTTAAAAAAGTGCCGGGCTAATGAGTGATGTTCTGAATGTTTGTGTTTTCTTGTCAGTCCAGTAAAGCTAATGTTCAAGTCTGATGCCGTATTTGCCCGGGTTAAGCTTTTTTAAACTCCGAGGGTTAAATTGTCCCTGGAAATAAACTGAAACCGATAGGGCTGGTGGAGCTGAATGGAAAATGTTTTCCTGGCTTTTTCTTTCAGCTATAAAGTTCATAACAGCTTTTTTTGTAAAATACCACTTCCAACATGTAAAAAACAAACAAACAAACAAACAAGCTGCTTTCTCTCAATTCAGAACTGAGGTGGTGCATATAACTAGTACTACTTGAGGAACACATCAGAGGCACATGTCATCCTAAGAGGCAGTATTTTCTGCTGGTCTGATTTGGCAGCAGAAGGAAACACTGCCAGGTCATCTAACTGTTCTACGTGGACACGCTACTTATTCCGTGTTTGTTTTGAAGGGGAATAAATAGAGTTGATGCAGCCTGTATTTGCAGGTATCTGAGTGTGTTTTCTGGATAGGCCGTGGGGAGCTTTCTTTTCCCTGCACAAATGGGTATATCAGGTCATTCTGTCCTGTAACTATGAGCAATTGTAACTGGCAGTGTGGGATGGGGAGCAAAATACTTCAACTGACAGCATCACACTGAGTTCGGCTTCTTGCACATGTGTAGTTTCCATCTTTAAAGATAGGAGCATTTAGCCTCACCTAATGATCTACTTTTTTTTTTTTTTATTGTCATTGTCCCCATGCCATTGTCTTTGCAGAGGATGCTTTCTTGCCCTTTTTTTTTCTTTTCTGTTTCTTTTGCAAATGTGTTTGCTTACTTTATTTTATTTTATTTTTTTATGCTGCTGTTATTTGGGGGAAACTTTTCCAGAAATAATCCTAAAGCTCTTAATCTTCTGCTCCTAAAGTCTGTTGCTGTGCCAGCTAGAGCTTGGGCAGGGAGGGAGGACACACATGTCTTTGCTCACAGATAACAAGGGGAAAAAGCCTTTTTTAGTAACCTAGAAGTATCAAATTGTGTGTATATAGCTGATGTGTATAAACATGTGGTCTTTTTTGTGTTATGTTTGGCTTTGTATTTGTCAAATTTCTTGCTTTTATTTTAAGAACTGGGCTGCAAACGCTTCGTGGACCAATTATTTTTACAGCAATGGCTCCCTTATTTTGATGTTGAAAGACGTAACGTACAGTTAGTGTAGTTTACTATGTTTTTTTAGTATAGTACCTAAAAAGTACGATTGAGTGCTCTTTTTAATTGAAACAGTTTTTATTTTATCCTTTGGCGGCCATGGGTTCTTGAAGTATTACTTAGTATGTAACTTCTGATGAGTACTAATGTTGAACGATGCATGTTCCTTCCCTGGGAAGTTTTGACCATGTAACTTTTGAAGTGCATTTGATGCAATTCTTCAATTTTTTGTAAGCTTTCTTTAAATCATATGTTGTTATAGAAAAGATATGTACACGTGCTGTGATTGATTTGCAGAATACACACATCAAATCTTGTATTGAAATGTGCCATTTCAATGTATGCATGCACTAAGTTGCTTTTTATCTTGCATGAGACTAAAAGCATATTGAATTTAATCATTAAAATATTAATCATTCAAAACTTTTACCTTAAATCCCTTATGGCAGGTCATGCTGACCCCGAACATGCAAGGTATTATCATGGCTATAGGTAAAGCCAGGAATGTTTATGACAGGTGTGGGCCAGAAGCAGGGTTCTTTAAGGTACAACTAACATTTTCAACTTTTTTCTCCTCTGACTTTTCTTGTTAGATTTACCTTCTCACCCTACCCTTTGATGCATTTTAAGATTTTTCCAGCATTTATAAGTATTCTTCTGTGACATCAGTCCTCCATTTAGATATTTCTTTTTAAAAAATGTATAGAGCTATTTCCCTGTTCATTTAGCAATATATTATTTTGATGTCAGTAGCTTAAATACCTTTCTGCATTTTACCTTTCTAACAATAATGGCAAGTAACTTGAAAGTTAGATGTGGGATCGGTGAGAATATGTATTTTTCCTTTTTCATAACGAAAAGCATGTCTTCACTAGCCTGTGTTTGAGACGCCAGTGTTTTCGGTCTCAGGGACATCGGTGTTCCGTCATGTGTGTTATTTCAAAGAAATGTTGTTCTTGTTTTGTCCTCCTTAAAAGATTTTTAGTAAATATAAGTTATTTTATTTTGATTAACAACCTTGATGTCGATACTTTTTATTTATACAGTGCATTTTATTATTGAGAATTAAGGCCTTTGCGGTTGTAACTTTTCAGATTAAGACCAGATTTTAAAAATGTTTTGGTTTTCTTAAGTACACAAACTTACAAACATTTTTTAGCTCATAAAAACTATCGAACTTTCAGAATACTAGCAAGGAGATTACTTTGACATGATGTAAAACCCTCTCAAATGTGGTTTTTTGCGAGCAGAGCAAGAAGCTTCCTGTTTGACTTTGAGTAGCATTCTGTTTTTGTGTTAATTGTTATGGTGTATTTACACTAAGAGAAATTGTGTCAAATGCAATTGTCTCTTGAACAACTTGGTCAGGAAATTGAAATCTTGAGATTTTGTTTGTTTATTTGTTTGTTTGTTTATTTAAACAGATACTTTCAAAAGTGTTATTACCATAGCATTTCTTTCCGGGGTGGCTGTTTCTGTTGACTGTGCCTGTCTGGAGGGAACAGAGACAACTACTTTAGCCTATGTTCCGTGAAATGGGTTTTGTTTAGGAATGTCAGTGTTTTCGATTTCCTCACTTAAAGAAAAGCTTCTCACTGTAGATTTTCTTTTTTGATATTTTTAAAAAATACTTTTTTAAGCAAATCAAGCTCTTTACCACAAAGGTTAATTGCACTGAATGTTTTTCTTTAAATGGAGGGTGTTTTTATTATTTTAAAATCAAGAACAAAAATCAAGTGCAAAATAAACTTATGGCAAATGCTTTAGAATTATCAAAGCATTGTACTGTTACACATTTTTTATTTTTTATTTTTATTTTTAACACAAATATTTTCACTGTGTGGCGGGAGAAGGATTTGTCTTTGAGAAAATTTTCTAACACGAAATTGGTGGGGGATAGAAAAGTTTCACTACTCATTTTGTGTTGAATCATATTTGTAATAACTTAAGTGCAACATGCTTCATTTCTAAGGAATAAATTAGTATGAATGTATGCAAAGGAAGTGGCTCTATTCAGTACTGAATGTCACATTTTAAAACGTCAGGTAAAATTCCACGTTACTTCATAAACTTACTGAAAAGCTTCTATGACCTTTTTTTAATGCCACGAGACTCTCTCTTTCCCACATGTTTTTTATAAAATAAATATTTTAAAGTAGTTATGTTTTTTCTATGATGTTTTTGCAGTTATACCCCAGGTAAAACCCATTTAACGTGGGTCATTGTTTCTACCGAGGTTTGACTCCCCCTTTAGATCACTGACTTGAGGCACCCCTAACACCAACTAATTAAGATGTTTATTGATCAATGACTACTTACAGTCCTCCTTCTCTAAACTTTATCACCAGTTCCTTGCAGAATGTTTGCCTTAAGGTCTCTATATAACATTCTCAGTGAGGAAATGAAAACATGCATTACTTTTTTCCATTGCCTCTTTTTTTGTTAGCTATTTAAAGAAATAGAGCTATTTTTCACTGCGAGTAGGAATTCTAAATTTGTAGAGTACCATTTTAGTTTTTTTAAATGAGTGAATATAAAAATACAGGTGGTGTGTTTTTTTCCTGTTTCTTCTAAGTAATTCTCTGAAATGAATAATATTCCCTGAGTATTCTCTGAAGTGAATAATAGCAATTACTTTTAGTTTCTGGCCTGCTATGATAAATGGGTTTTGCGTAGTTATCCGTGTTGGCTTTATAGTGGTAGAGCTTCTTATGATGTAAGATAATGCAAACTGTTACCCATGGCTTCTGATATTTATAACCAATTCTCCCAAGCTTCCTGTTTAATAGTAACGCACCTGATTAACACTTTCAAATACTAAGACAGAACGTTCTCTAAGTTTTGAAGTACTCCACGCTCTCTCCATTTAAGTCTGTATGAATGGTACTCTACGCATGTGTTCAGTGTCTTGAAACAAAATGTATTTTGGGAGAGGGATGGGAGCCTGATTTCTCTTAGTGAAACCTGAAGAAGTATGCCACTTCCAGGTATTTCAGTGTAAAGGGATGTGGAACATTGAACAGGATATTTTTCTGCCTGCTTTGGAGCTTTATGTAGTCTCTGAGTTGTACTGAAACTTTGGTAATAGTTTTCTCGGTATTGATGTGTGGAGCTACTGGGTTAAGTCATTTGTTTCAAGCTAACATTTAATGTTAGCAAACAGCCTGATCACTTCTATTTTTTGAGAGAGAAATTATGGAACACTTTAAGATTTATCACCATTTCTCTAATAGTTTTTCTTGTTGTTGTTAATGCTACATAGTTTCAGTCTGTAAAAATCTAATTAACAGAACAGATGATGTTCATTAAAAACCTACTGTGCTGGCAAAGTTAGAAGAGTAAACGTTTCTGGTGACCTCTAAAGTCACTCTAAAATATTACTTGAGGAGCCCATCCTGCCCTACAAGATGCTAATACTATTAATACTGAAATGCATTTTCTTTAGAAATCATACAGTTTGGTTTTTGTTGTAAGACATTTTACATTTTGACTTACAGTGTTTTCAAAATCATGCATATTCATTAAACTTTCTGTAGAATTTGTTTTATTCATGTATTTACATTTTTACTGTATGTTAGAGGTACATTTTTACTTTAGGAGATTTTAGAAGATGCTTTTAAGTGAAATATCTGAAATTGTGTATTGCTTTTGGACAGTACATGATTCAGTAGGCCTCTTTAGGGATTAGATAAACCTCCCGTGGCGGTTTAGCACAGGATTGGGACTGCCTTTGACACAAAGGTCTGTCTAGGGTATCGGCACAGTTAGTTGAGGAGAGAGGGGAACAAGTTTGTCATGTGTCTGTGTTTTTTTTTTCCTGTTTTTAGTTTATTTTCAATGTGAGAAGGGTGAAGTTAAAGAATTGTTAAAACAAATAACTTTGTAGGCTATGTGACATGAATTACTGTGTTGGTATTTTGTGAAGTTTACATGTTAAAAGTTAATCAGAAGGAATAACGTTTATTTTTAAAATTGTCTAGGCGATTAAATTGGAATACACACGGCTACTAAAATTAGCACAGGAAGATCCACCACCTGAATGTGATTACCGTTTGCGTCATGCAATTGTTTACTTCATCCAAAACCAGGCACCAAAGAAGATAATTGAGAGAACGTTATTGGAACAGTTTGGAGATCACAATCTTAGCTTTGATGAAAGGTAATAAGATCAGCATGTCTCATTTCCTGTGCTCATGAACCTTCTGTGAAGGCTAGAGACGCCCCTCTATATTTATACAGTGTATGTAATAGCGGGTAAGAATTGTACGTTCGTTTGGCTTGTATCTTCTTGTTAATATCTTCAAAGTGTTACGTGTGTGGAAGAACAATTTGATAAAAATTATAATCTTTACAAAAATCTCTATAAGAAGAGTAAATAAGAAGTTGGATTGTTATCAGAAGGAAACAGGGAGAAGTACTCAGTGGTGATGGTCATAACTGTATTACAGATTTCTGTACTTTCTTTTGAAACACTGTGCAAGGCCATGTACTTTGCGTTTCATCACCTGCCTGAGAGCCAGCAGTAGGCTACAAAGCCTTGCATCTCTTGAAATGGGGCACTGAGCTAGATGAGTAGCTTATCTGAATGGGAGACAGCTTCTGTGTTCTAATCAAAATTCCACATGTTTACCTATTTAAAAACAAATTGAAAGGTAGAGAACATTAATCTAATTTCTGGAGAGTGACATCTGTAAAGCCTCTGGTTCTAATCCTCTGATGATACTTCTGGAAAGTAAATTACAGGGAGTTTCAGAACTCAGTTCAGTTTTCTGAACTTTAAAAAGAAAGAGTGAGCAATGTGGCAATTTACTTCTTATTTTACTTTTTTAAAGCTTAAATGGCAAATTTTTAAAGTACACATGATGGAAACCCATGTTCTTT